GGGACCGAGGGACAGATTTGAGGACAGACAGATGGATTTGGACACAGAGGGACAGATTTGGGCGCCGGGGCACCACTGAGGGGACCGAGGGACAGATCTGGGGACAGAGGGACCACAGGGATGGTTACGGGGACAGAGGGACGGATTTGGGCACAGAAGGACAGATTTGGGCACCGAGGGACAGATTTGGGTGCCAGGGGACCACCGAGGGGCCACCAAAGCGCCCCCACCTCGTATCCCTTGCGCTTCTTGAGGCGTTTCTTGTTGAGGCGCTTGTTGGCGTACATCTTGCCGGTGGCGCGGCGCTGGCAGGCGCAGACCTCGCCGAAGCCGCCCTTGCCCAGCACGCGGAACTCCACGAAGGCGTCGGCGCCCACGGGCTGCCCCTCGAGCCACTTGAACTGCACGTAGCGCCCGAACTCGGGCGAGGCCCGGTACGGCCCCCAGGCCGCCGCCTCCAGGTGCTCCAGCAGCTCCCGCCGCGCCTGCGCGAAGGCGTCGCCCGGGATGGCGGAGCCTGAGGGGCGGGAGGGGCGAGGGAGGGGGCGGTGAGGGGCGGTGGGGTGGTTTTCAGGGGGGTCATGGCTGCCCGTGGTCGCTTTTAGGGGTGTCATGGCCGCCGTTGGGGGTGTCATGGCCGCCATTGGGGGCATCATGGCTGCCATTGGGGGTGTCAGGAAGGTGTCATGGCCGCCGTTGGGCGTATCATGGAGGTGTCATGGCCGCCTTTGGGGGTGTCAGGGAGGTGTCATGGCCGCCATTGGGGGTGTCATGGCTGTCGTTCGGGGTGTCATGGCTGCCATTGGGGGTGTCATGGCCGCCTTTGGGGGTGTCATGGCCACCATTGGGGGTGTCATGGCTACCGTTGGGGTTGTCATGGCCACCATTGGGGGCATCATGGCTGCCATTGGGGGTGTCAGGGAGGTGTCATGGCTGCCGTTGGGGGTGTCATGGCTGCCGTTGGGGGTGTCATGGCCGCTGTTGGGGGTGTCATGGCTGCCGTTGGGGGTGTCATGGCTGCCATTGGGGGTGTCATGGCTGCCGTTGGGGGTGTCATGGAGGTGCCACGGCCACCACTGAGGGTGTCAGGAAGGTGTCATGGTCGCCATCGGGGGTGTCATGGAGGTGTCATGGCCGCCATGTTGTTGCCATGGCCGCCATATTGATGTCTTGCCACCATGTTGTTGCCATGGCCCCCACGTTGGTGCCATGGCCGCCATATTGGTGCCATGATCACCATATTGGTGTCATGACCGCCATATTGATGCCATGGCCACTGTATTGTTGCCATGGCTGCCATGTTGATGCCATGACTGCCATATTGGTGCCATAGCCGCCATGTTGGTGTCATGGCCTCCATATTGTTGCCATGGCCGCCATATTGGTGTCTTGACCACCATATTGATGCCATGGACGCCATGTTGGTGCCATGACCTCCATGTTGGTGTCATGACCTCCATGTTGGTGTCATGACCTCCATGTTGGTGTCATGACCACCATATTGTTGCCATGGCCGCCATATTGGTGTCATGGCCGCCATATTGGTGTCATGACCACCATATTGTTGCCATGGCCGCCATGTTGGTGTCATGACCACCATGTTGTTGCCATGGCCGCCATGTTGGTGTCATGGCCTCCATATTGGTGCCATGGCCGCCATGTTGGTGCCATGACCTCCCTCTTGGTGCCATGACCTCCATGTTGGTGCCATGACCACCATGTTGGTGCCATGACCACCATATTGTTGCCATGGCTGCCATGTTGGTGTCATGACCGCCATATTGTTGCCATGGCCGCCATGTTGGTATCATGGCCTCCATATTGGTGCCATGGCCGCCATGTTGGTGCCATGACCTCCATGTTGGTGTCATGACCTCCATGTTGGTGTCATGACCTCCATGTTGGTGTCATGACCT